CGTTTCACATTGGAGGCGAAAAATTGGAAAGTTTTGCGAGCCAATTTTTGAATGAGTTTCTGAATATGACGAAATGGCCTGAGGTAGCTTACCAGCCTTTTGAAATGATTATAGCTTTCGAAGGCGTTTCATATCCCAAAGTGGAAGAGACGATAGAGGGCAGCATCTTTTGTCCGTCTGAAAGAGGATACTTCGGTGTCGTCTATACTAACGAAGAGACACTGATGTTTTCTCTATTACATGTTTATTCAGTCTCTATGAATAAGCGTTTTTGCAAGTGTAGATCAGGAAACAGGCTACTTCAGCTTGGGAGATATTGCCAACTTTGTGGAAAGGATGAATCTGGGCAAAGAATTGTCCTTTTAAAAGAAAAAGACACACAGATAGCTGAGCAGAACCTAACAAAGATTATACAAGTAAAAAATGTGTCCAAAACTTTGATGCACTTCGCGTTGTTCTTTGTCGGTAAGGTTATTATTGTACATGCTTGTGAACCAATTTATGCGCAGAATAGACATGCTCCAGTGGTCACTTCTGAGCCATTCCCGGATATAATCCCAGCTAACTGCCTACTCGTTTATAGTAGCCCAGAATTCAACGCTTTGATTTGGGATCCAATTCGCAAGGTCATCAGACCTTTAAAACAAGATCAAAGTGTCAAAAACATTTCCTGCAGCGAAAAGCCGGTTTTATTCACTTGTACTTCGGATATGAATCTTGTTGCGATAACTGTTTCATCTAGTGAGAACATAATTATAATTAGTAATGACATATCTACTCAATTAAATTCTGCGATTCATGGTTTGCAGCGCGTTGACGCGTTGTTTCTGACTGAGAAGAAAGTTCTTCTCGCCTGGAACTACAGAAGAAAAATCTGCGTCGCGTTCCGTGAATGCTTACAGGGTTCTGCATCAAGTTGGTTTGTCGTTAAGGCGTTCAAAAAACCAGAACTGAATGACGTACCCGAACAGTACAATGAAACAAAGTGGGAGAGAATTGAACATACCCAAACCGATGTTTATATATTCATATCAAAGGCTCCCTTGCCCTGGATTTTGCCAATATCTGACATCATAGGAAATCTACCGCGCCCTTGAGCAATAAACCTGAAACTGTCTTAATTTTCAGCTCTATCTGCTTTGATCATACTTTGAACAATTAATCTTGGCTATTCCAAATTACTGCATTCCATCTGTTTTGAAATGTATATGACATCGGTTAACCTGGGTTCTTTTTTTTTAAATCTGTGCTTTGAAAATTAGAAATTTAGTGTTTCCATTTAGCGTGTAATTTAGTGTTTCCATTTAGCGACTTTTTGAACAATTAGTTATATTGGACATCGCTACAATATTCGTTGGTGTTTTTTTTTTCAAATTATTGTTCCGATTTTCGATATGAAAGTAACGGAATATTTATGCTCGCGGTGGGTTTTTTCTTCAGACAAACTTCGACTTTTTACCTAGCCATTTTTGACGGTTTTTTTATATCAATCAAAAGTTAGAAGAAGAAGAAGAATTTATTTCTCCATATAGTTGATAATACAAACATCAATTTATTTAAGTTATTAAATCAACAAAATGGAGGGGATAGACAAAAGGCGCAGTATGTGCCTACTTGACGTCTACCAGTTGAACAAATTAGGATTGCAACTAAGTAATAAAGATAAATTTATATTCGAATAAAAATAGGATTGTGGGGAAAATTTTATTTTTCCCTAAAATTAAGCCATCATTAAGGAATAGTTATTACATCTAGTCCTGTCATTTCGGCCAATTCTCATTCCAGCTGGCGAACTAAGAATATGAGAAAACATATGAAAAAAATGTAAGTTTTTTCTTTTTTTTTTAAAAATTTTTCCAAAACATGCGATTTCTCGATAACTACAAGGATTTGGAGGGTCATATTTTCAGCATAGAATCGCAACCCTAGAATGGTTGTTTGATAGCAATTAGCCAGGGGGTACCATTTTTTAAAAATAAAAAATTCAAAGAAATATGTTTTGCGCCAACTCGTAATTGTCACAAATGAAATTATCTTTAAACTTATGAACGAAACTATTCTTAATTTTTTGACATCAATCCAATATTTTCAGGTAAGAGCTTATTTATACTCATAATATTCAATAACTTTGAACCCCTATTAGTCAAAGAACATGATTTTGCCTTATTCTTACAGAATGGTGGAACAAATGTTCGACCTTCTGAAATTCGCGTATTATAGGCAAAAGTTTTTAAAGTAAACAAAGAATTGAGAAAACAAGTTGGATGTTTTTGATTTAGTGATCGTAAACAAAACTTCATCAAATCGTACACATATAGCTCATGAACTGTTAGTATTTTCTTATCAGAAAAGAATTTAGTAATGGTGTCAAATTTCCTTTATGAAGCAGATCATGCGAACAATTTTTCGTTGCATATTCAAAATGGGGGTTTAAAAAGAAAAACTTGTGCCGCCGTAGACGAACAAGCCATATTGTATTATTGGCTTGATATTTGACATATAGTATTTCAGTAGGATGGATCTTGGTACATAATGTCTCATTTTTGATATTACACCACATTGACGACCTAGTTTTGATTGAACATTCTGTATATGGTGAAAAAATTTAAGCTTATCATCTACAATGACACCTAGGTATTTGCAAAAAGGTTTCGTCTGAAAAGTAAAACCAAGTATATCAAAAGAAAGATTGGAAGCACTTCTATCCTTAGTAAAATTAATTAAAGTAGTTTTATCTGAGTTTAAGGTTAATTTATTTGAACCAAGCCAGGAAGAATTTTGGTCAAATCTAACTGGTATTCTTCATAGATAGATTTTTGACATGATATGTTTGTATCATCTGCAAACAGAAAAACATTTGAATTGCAAACTGCGTGCTGTATGTCGTTAATATAAACAAGAGAGGGCCTAAAACAGAGCCTTGCGGAGAAAGCTGAAATTTTTGATGATTTTGCAGTCTTGCCATTTATTTCATTTAAAACTTTAAATACTTGTCTCGAGTCTCCAATACATTTATTAAATTTTTGATAGTAATGATCTTTTTTCGCGATTCTTATAAGTTTTTCAACTTTTTGAAGTTGGTTAAGAAAGTTAACTTTTTTAAGAGAATTCAGTTTGTCTGACTTCCACAATTTGTATATGCGATTTCTTTTTATAAACGATTTCTTCAAGCCTTAGCGAACTAAGGAGCATTAGTTTTGTTTTTGTGTATCATATTACGTAATGGTGCAGAAAGGTTTAGAGATTTCATTAAGCTGTGATTGAACTTTTTGTACGCAAGGTCTATGTTATTATCGCTGATCAGGTTTGCAACTTAACAAAAACTTCATTTTATATTCTTTTGTTAAGAATGACATATCACGATATGAAAAACTTGATAAATCACCTTTAAAGCCAAAATTAAATTTCAATATTATGGGATAATGATCAGAAAAGCATTCATTATCTAATACTTCAATGGTTGGATTTTCTAAACTCCTGATTATAAAATGGTCTATACAAGTTTCAGATGTGTCACTAATTCGAGTTGCAGATTTAATCAAAAGTTCGAACCCATTTGCTGTTATTGTGTTCAGATATGATTGCTGTAACTTATTTTTCTGGAGTGTATCGCTGTTGATATCTCCAGTTAGAATTATTGGTACTTTATACTGAGCAAGATGCTGTAGTTCCTTATCGAGCTCATCGACAAATTGAATTTTGTCATATCGTGGGGGTACATATGCCAACACAACTATAAATTATTTACCACTAACTTCAACAAGGATTGATAAGGATTCTGAAATGCCACTCTCAAGCTGTTCTAATAAGTTAACATTATCGCCTAGCTGTATCATAGTTCCCCCACCTCTTGTTTTTCTGGTATTAGTTATGATGGTATGGAAACCTGTGATTTTAAACAAATTAACATCATCAATTTCCCTAAGCCACGTTTCTGTAAGACATAGTAAGTTTATCGGAGACTCGAGACTACTTAAAAGTGCTTCCACATCTTCGTGGTGTTTTTTTAGTGATCCTACATTAGAAAGTAATAAGTTAACAGTAGCATCAATAATTTTATGGCTAATTGGTTCCTGCACTTTTATCCATTTTACGATACCATTTGTCCGGCTGAGCTCCGGAAAACACCATTGAAACAGTTTCTAACAACATCCAATTTATATTCCAGGAACTGACCACCTTCATACAGCCCATTAGTTTTGTACAACTCATCGTCTGCTTTCCAAATGAAAAAATAGTTCCTTCGCGGGTCCAAGTGGATTGAATTCTCTCATCCGACCTCATGATTTTGAGGAAATTGACTCTCGCAGCACTTAGATCTTCGAATAATTTGATATCTCTCAAATCTTCATGGTTTATCAAATTCTTTTTCTTTTTTAGGAGATAGATTTTCTTTATTCTTCTGGCGAATCTAACAATTACTGGCTTGTTGCCGGCGTTTCGAGATGGTAGCCTGTGCGCAATAGATATATCGTTCTCTGATATTTGGGCCTCTAGTGCATAGCTTATGTCGACAATTTTTTTTATTTTTGTTTCCATCATCTCCCTTTGCCCGGCATTTGTTTCTTTGAGCCCGAGAATTTTCACATTATCCCTGCGTTTGTAGTTCTCTAACAACTCAGACTCCGACAGTGTTTTCAGATTGACCTTCTTTTCGTTGTGAGATATTTCGCCCTTTACCCATATCATTAGTTCATCTTTCACTTTTGATATTGCTTCTGTTATCGCCAAATTTATAACTTCCTTGATTTGCACTTTGATGTCATCAAGCAACTTCGGGATCAACGCATTAACTGAATTTGATATCGCACCTTCGACCTTCTTTGCTAGATTCAGTTTTTCTTCAATAGATGATTCCTCTCCACACGGGCTCAATTCAATGCAAGTTCGTTTGGCAGATGGGTTAGAGCAGACAGGGGTCTGAACATGAAATTTGAGAGGTGGCATCTCAACGTTCGCGCAGTCTTTATCAATGGTATTCATTTTCTTTCTCTGAAACTATTTAATAAGTTTATCATAACAATTAGGCTAATGTTGTCCTGAGCTCAAATTTGAAGATTTTTTTACCTGTGATCATTTTTCGTTTTGGGGGTTTAAAGATTGCCTCTTTGGCCAGTTTGGGACAATTCGCGCTCGATATATTTCGCGCTATTAACGCGTAAGCGAGGTTTAATCCGTCTTAGAAATCCTTCCAAATTGGGTCAATGAAGCTTATATGCCATAATTGAATTGTGAATAGGAGCAAAATCTATCACTTTTTACTTAATATGACGTGTGGGGGATGTTTTCACAAAAAATCGCAATTTTTTTCAATCGATTTTTTAATTTTCTTTAATAACTTTTCAATTTTTCATGTTATTACTGCTCCATAGACCTTAAAAGACAGTCGGAACATTCAGGGCTTCGCCCTGGTACGAGCAGTCCTGTTTTTTGCGTATTTGTTTGTTTCAAGTGCTGCCTCTGTTGGCCCTGATAGCTCCATTGCATGTGATCCCTATCACAGGGAATTTTCATCAGAACTCTCTTTTCTGCAGTACCAATCAAAGACGAAGCTACCAAATGGTCAAATCATACGAACATGCAATCACTTCGAATGGCCTCGATCTCGCCTTCTTCGCATCGGCCACTGAAATAAGTGAAACGTCAGAAACCTGTGTCGCCCGTTTTCTAACAAGTAATGTTAACAGTTCTTCTTTTTGGTTTATAGATGCAGAGTGTTAGTTTGATCATTATCCAGTTATCTTAAGTTTTCAGATTGTCAAAATGCATATAATTTTGCAAAGAGATGTTTTTCAAACTAATTAGTTTTGCTTTATTATTGCCAATTTGGATTCCGACTGAAATACGCAACAATCGATTCGCTAGCAAAATTGGCTGAGCTTATCAGTTTGAAAAACCTGATTTTTTCATCAAATTAAATATGATTCTTGATACTCATGACCACAATATACTTGTCAAGGCGTTAGATTTATATGATGTTACGATTTTTATTTCAAAAAATGGTTTCAAAGCTGTTTGTTGGTTATGTTTCAAGATGTTTCAGTTTACTATACGATCTCGAACATGTAACCTGTTAATGGTGTTGTTCCACAAACTTCAGTTTTCCAACATTTTTTCGTGTTAATGTGATTGACATGCCGCTAGTCTCTCAAATCTCTGATGTTTTTTTGCAGACGATACAGATACTGTCTGGAAATGGCGTCCTGCCAGATTTTCAAAAAATTGTGTTCAACAAATATATGGCTCTTTTTGTAGTTAACTCTAAATAGTGATAAAACTACAGTGCTTACTCCTTATCGAAAAACAGTGCTTATTTACAATAATCCTTATTTTTACACCTCAGTTTTCCAGCTAATGTTTAGGTGAATTATTCGATAATTTTTTTGTCGTTTTGAGATAATATGAGAACATTAATAAATAAGGGCACCACTGTGTTGTTATATATCAAAACTGGTCATTTTGTCCCTTATTAAGAGTAAAGAACGTAATGAAGACTTATATAGGTCTTACTGATTTTTTTTCAGGAAGTATAAAAATTTGTTGACGTGGTTTTGATTTGTCGCGGTTTGACTTGTGATTTCTTTTCAAGTTCAGTGCATTCCCATTGTTAAAAGGAGGGCAATTTCCACTATCGAACAGCATAATTGTAAAGGTCACGATAAACGTGATCGACTTCTGATTTCGAAATTGGAATTTAGTTATCAGATTTCCCAGCGAAGTAAAAGTTTTCTCTAAATTTTCTCATTTTTCTCTAATTGAGTCATTTTCAACTAATAAGTGTCCATCATAAATTGTTTTACAAATTCAAAGAGCTTTAAGGCCATCTAATTTTTTTATTCGAAATTCAAAAGTTGAAGGCTCTTGAAAAAACAACTCAGTTTTTTTTAGTATTCTTGTGTTCGTTACTCTTTTCCACCTGTTAGTTGGCTATGTTGATGTAAGTCTTAGTTACTATTCCTACAATATACAACTAAGTTTTTAGTACGGACTGTTGATGTATGGATGCACGTACATCTGTTTTGCCTTCGACCTTATTTACTTGGTGCAAAAGAAATTTTAAATGCTATTTTTTGGAATCAATAACAATAGCATTAGCAAGTTATAGAAAAAAATCTTTCGGCTTCCGTGACTCTTTAAGTATGACCTTTTCAAACCCAGTTTCCGATTAATCATTAGCCTACTTTAAACTGACTTTCTAAATAGAGCTTAAGCTCTTCAATCCACTTATAGGACCATTGCTGATCACTTGTTTTTCTGTGAAACCTTTGAAATCTTTTTTAAAATTAATGTTTGATCGCATTTTGTTAGGGAGCGCTATAAGCGGTCAATTATGATAAGCGGAAGCAAGTTGTTTCCATCAAATTTTGGACTTTGCCAAAAAATGATGAATTGAGTGAGAAGATCGAACTTGTGAATCAAATATTTGGTGCTTTTTTAAATCTGTGTTTCATTACCTTAGCATAGGTGCTACCACATTGGTGTTCATAGTTTTCGTCCAAAATGTTTAATAGTTTCCGAGCTATTTCAAGTGTTCTGCTATTTTTAAAACATTCCGAAAAACTGTATTTGTAAGCTTTTTTTTCTTTCTCTTGCTTCCCCTTGTCTAAATCTAAAATATGAACGTATTGTGATATAATTATCAGTCGATTGTTATGTTATTAATCGACTTCTTCGAGAAATCGAGAATTTGAACTACTTCGATGATGTTAATTTTTAATAAGATTCAAGGTCAGAATTTTTCAAAATTGAGGACGTTGTCCTAAAAATTTGTTAAAAGCTACAATGCTGATTTAAATTAACCGGACAAAACGCGGTTAGCTTGAAATTTAAAACGCGTTTTTCTCAAATTGGGTTGAGTTTAGGTGAAAACTTATGAAGACATAACTTGCTTAAAATTTTAGCAGAGTTAATGTGGTGTAATTTATTTTGCGAAATTAGGGCCCAAAATTTTACCCCAAAAATGGGTCATTTTGGCTTTTCTTAGTTAATTAAAAATTACGCCAAAAATACCCAGTCGATCACTAACATAAGTACATCAGAGTGAGCTTCTTAAGTAGCCCAACAAACTTTAAGAAGGGTATATTCTCCAAAACATTGTATAAGTTAACTTATTTTGTTTGATAGACAAAAAAGGTCGTTTTTACTATATAAAATACCAACTATTTATTTAAAAACAGTTTTTAAACGGTTTGTAATTTTTTTTTGGAGAATATACCCTTCTTAAAGTTTGTTGGGCTACGTAAGGGGGTCATTTTGATATAGTTATGGCTGCGATCGACTGGTTAATTTTGGCGTAATTTTTGATTAACTAATAAGAAAAGCCAAAATGACTAATTTTTGAGGTAAAATTTTGGGCCCTAATTTCGCAAAAAAAAAATTACACCATATTAATTCTGCTAAAATTTTAAGCAATCTTTGTCGTCATATGTTTTCACCTAAACTCAACCCAATTTGAGAAAAACGCGTTTTAATTTTCAAGTTAAACGCGTTTTGTCCGGTTAATTTAAATCAGCATTGTAGCTTTTAACAAATTTTTGAAATAATTCTGACCTTGAGACAGTAAAATGGCGTTAAAATTGCAATCGAACTTTCAAAACTGCATTTGAACTGACAAAAGGGTAATGCTTAACGATTGCGCTTTTCGGAGAGTTTCGTTTTTGCTTTATTTCAAGGGCACAATTGAAGAAACCTTTTCATTCAACAACGATTTGCCATGTAATGTAATTTTTTAGAAAAAAAAACATCCAATTGCCGACTAAAGGCAAACGCGAAACTATACGAAGAAGTGTTTCGACTTAGTTTAATTTTGTAGGTCTAAAATATTTCGGAAATTTAAGTCCGATAATTTTTTTTAAAAAAGCTATATTTCAAACGAGTAGCGGTTCGTACGTTGATACGATTTGTTACGTTGATTTCTTTGATCAGAAACTTCCATCTCATTTTGGCGGAATTTAACGGCAATTGAGTATCAAACATTATAGAACCTTTTTGATTTCTTTTATGGATGAAATTATCTCGTGGATAATTTATGGCAGATTTTAAACGAAGGCTAATCTTCTTGTGGGCTTTGTGCTTCGCCTTTTCAAAAAAAACTTTAAATCACTTTTTGGGTATTTTTTTTACTTAGACCCTTGTAACGTATGATATTTCTTCTGGTGTGATGTTTTAGTTTGGGGTAAAATGGTATGGGGTACTTTGTCAGTTGACCGATTTTTAACTTCATTGAAAGTGAAAATGAAGAAATGGCTTTTTGTGGGGTTCGTTAGCTTGTCAAATCTCCTACTGGCTCTATCAATTGTTTTTCCTGACCAGGTTTTAATCAGGAGCAGCAGTTTGTTAAACATGACAATTCTGTCATTTTAACCCTAGAGCAATCTCAACATTTTAGTTCATTTTTGTTTTTAATTCACTTCTTGTCATTAAGATAGGAAAAGAGGAACATTTTTTTTTGTAAACGTCATATTTTATAGTTGGTTAGTAGCTTAACCGTTCAGTCAGCCGAAAAAAATCAATCTGCTATCCTTATTTAGAATCATTCAACGTGTTTTTCAATCATTAAAACTCTCCGATTGCTTGAATTTCATCATTTATGTTTTGACCTTGTCTAATGCACTCTTTAGAGACAAATCCACTTTACAAGTTTTGAAAAATTTATTTTGCTTCGATCCAATTTTCATGCGAGTTCCTTTTTTATTCGAAAAAAGGGCAGATAAATTTTGGTTTAAAGTGTGACGTAGAAATTGTTCAAGATAATGAGCGGGCCAGGAAATGAAAAGGCAAATTGGATTAAAGGAAGCAGGAAATAATCGGCATTTTGGGCAAAATTTCTTTACATTCGCCCAATGTAAGTGCAATCTAATCTTGACTCTTCTTCCTTCATTTCCCTTTCAAGTCATACCATACAGAGAAGTCTTTTTATTGAACAGCACGGCAGAAAAGTTGAGTGCTTGCGCAAATCTAAATGGCTTTGAAGTTTTATGGATTTGAGGATTTTTCTTCCGAAAAATTGCTTTAGTTTTGAGCTTGATAAATTCAGCCATTAATTCATCATTTTAACGAGTTGAAGTTTTTTTCTCGATCATCATTTTTTTTGAAGTATAAGATGTTGATTTTTGAAAGTTCTACTTAAATTTCAAACAAACAGTAGCTAATTTCAATTTTTGCTTCCTTCTGGTAGACAAAAAAAATCGGCATCTGTTATACAATTCTTTCACTTTTGCTCAGTCTGTAATTCACCGCAGTTCAGAAGGTATAAAAGCAGTCATCTGTAAAGTAAACCTCCTCATACTTACGTAATTTCAAGTGGATTACGTCAATATCTGCTACCGATTGAATGAGTTTTAAAGGCTTATGATTGTTCATTCAAGTACGGGTACCTGGAAAACTGATTCTTATTTCAGAGATTAATGGTATTACCTAGACAAATTAATCGGCTGGTTTTTTTCTGGCGATAAATATTAATTAAAATGGGTGGAGCTTTGCACAGTTCGTTATCTTCAACCTTCGATTTGGACGAATCGGGTATGTTTTTTTTTTTCATTAAAATAGAGAAAAAAATAATTTATTTAAATTTGCAGTTGCAACCATATAAATAATAAATAGAGTTTAGAAGTAGAGTTCGGGAATATAAATAATAATCTTGCTTTTTGTTTCGTAAATTAAGTGTTATTGGGGCCCACACTTCTTCAAATAGGCTAAAAACTAAATTATGTCAGGAATAGAAATGATGTAATTGATATTGGACGAAGGCTACAACTCACGGTTGGTTTTGGGCTGAAAACTGACTTTGCCACCAGAAGCATAATGCTTCTGTTACTTTCCTTATTTTTTGGGCGCAACAAAGTAATTTTTTCCCGATTTTAGACGCAATTGAAGACAACGACACGAGTGCCTACGTGGACTCGCTAACCTTCAGTCCGAACCACGGTAGAAATCTGCAGCTGTCTAAAAACTGCTTAGTAGCCCGTCGGCTACCAGGCAACTTCTGCAACGCAATTGTATTCACTGAACAACCTGTGAACGCATTTGGAGTCACGATAAAGCTGAACAAAGTCGCCACCCAATGGAGTGGCTATCTTAGAGTCGGATTCACGTCCAGAGACCCTTCAAGGCTCAATCCAAAATCACTCCCCAAATCTCTGGTTCCGGATCTCTGTTCCAAGAAAGGATACTGGGCTAAATCATTGGACTATGAGAATCTTTCGAGCGGTGATGTAATTCATGTGTGGGTTGATTCGACTGGGCTTGCGAAGTATACGGTCAATTCGCACGTGCCTGGGAGGGAAGCGTGTCGAGTGTTCCTGGAGAAACTTCCGATTGGAGACTATCTGTGGGCGGTTTTTGATGTGTATGGAAATTGCACCGAGGTTGAAATTTTGCCAAACCCAGGTAAACGTTTGTTTTTTTACTTAAAGGAATAAAAAAATTGAAAGTTGATTGCAAGAAAAACTCTAATCAAGATAAAATGTTCTCAACACGAAAAAATTATGAATAGTGATGCTTAAAAAGTTCCTTATTTGGGTTAACGCTCGTTAAATAACTAAACCGGTCATAGAAGCTAAATTCTATGTAGCGAATGATTTTTTGAACAACTTGTCAAATTTTTTTCCTTATAAATAAAGGATCGGATCTAAAGCCCGAAGTTTATTTTGAATCATGTTTGTAGGGCCAAGAAACGTCTGCGACCAATCACCTTTTCACCCTCTAGCTACAAGCCATCATCATCACTCTTTAGACAACAGTGACCAACACCAAATTGAACACACATCAAACGCGGCCGCTTTATTTGCTAACAACCTCCTCATTCGATTAGGGTCTAGTCTCATTTTACCGAATGACCTTTTTGATATCTATTTCCACCCCACTTGTGGGTCAAAGGTCACTTTATCGCAATGCTCGACCGTTGCTTTACGTGACCCAGATTCATACCATAACGGTTTAGTGTTTATAAATTCACCTTTGTTGTGCAACACGACGTATTTGTTCACAATCGCGGAGAAGTCGGAACGATGTCTGGGCAATTTGAGACTCGGAGTTACAGATTTGAACCCCAAAACCCTGGCTGAAAAACCAAATCCATGGCCTGCAGATTCGATTGATTTTGCATGTGCGCGAGAAACTGAATTTTGGGACGTTCGTCAAGTCGTTCAAACGTGTAATATTGGCGACGTTGTTGCTGTTTTTGTGACTAAATTATCAAAAAGAACGAATCAAAGAGTAGTCATGTATAATATAATTCGACCAAAAAGAGTGTCGGCTGTTTGCACCGAGGATGCAAATCAACGGAACTCTGGTTGGACAAAACTCTGTGACGTCACTCCTTCTACGGGACAACTGTGGCTGTTGATCGACTTGTTCGGAAAGACGAATTCAGTGGCATTGATAGGTTAGTTTTCTTAAATAGTTTGTTTTGCAATCTCGTTTCTCCAAGCTGGGAAATATCATAAAAATTAATTTATTTAGTTCACAAAGAATTTCTCTGCGGTGTCGAGTGTAACAAATAATGACGGTTTATTGGAAATTCAATATTGTAAAAGTTTGACTGCAGTGCAGACGTTTTGCATAAATTGGGGTTAGCCGACCAAAAAAAATTAAATTTTTGAAAAACCTTTCTTAGGTACACCCATTATCAAGTTGGTTGCTTGTGAGCTTAGTCAAAATTCTTAAGCCAAAAGTTAAAACAATATTTTGACCAGATATGCAATGAAAAAAAGATCGTAATTTTTCTCGTATAAATATCGAAAATCTGAAATTGAACATCTGCGAAATGTGGGTCTTATAGGAATGACTTCTCAGTTGCGACCAGAAACGGATGCTGCCCTCTGTTCGCCTACAGGAACTGGACAAACTTTGACCTCTGCTGGTGAACTTAATTCTGAACCTAATTCGTCAACAATAGAAGCAGTTAAAGAGACAGACGATTCAGACAGCCTAAACACAGAATGTGCAGTTTGCATGCATTTCAACAGTGATACAGTTATCTACGATTGCGGACATTGCTGTTTGTGTTACAGCTGTGCTCATGATTTGTTAAGACTTAAGCACCAGTGTCCAATTTGCAGAAGACCGATTAAAGATGTAATCAAAGTGTTCTACGGCTGAAAATTGTCGAACTTGATAGAACTTTGAATTTCTTTTCGTAATCAATTTTAAATGTCTATCATCATTATGCTGCCAAAAGTATATAAGTTTGACATTAAATGTTGAATGTATAATAGCAGTTCGCTCTGTAAATCAATGTATCATTATTCACGCAATATCAGTGCAATTTAAACTATTTAAAGTTATTTTTAAACCCTGCGTCATAAGGAGTTAACGGCCCCATGTGAATAATCCCCCCTACATCCCCTATATATACCAATTGAACAATCTGCCCCACATTAAATTGAGTGGCCAGTTGCAGCTGTAAGGCCTGCTCGTACTATGCTCAAATTTGATGCGCTGAAAAGTATTTGCTTTTAACCAAGTGAACGATTTCTCCCCTAAAATGATTTAGAGGGCAGATTGATCACTTGTTCGTTTTTACTGAGAATGTTGTACTGATTTTTTGTTATTGAGAAAAGTCTGCGCTCAATGACAGGAATTTGCTGTAGATGTTTTTACCTCTCAGAAATACTTTTGATGGAAAAAAAATTGCGTGAATTCCATTTTTCATTGTTTTTTAAACACTTATTTGAAAAAATTTCCTTTTGATTTAGGCACACTTTTTTCTTAGCTTGAGTTGCCTATTCACATAATTAAACCAATGCCATAGAAATTAACTGTGTTTGGAGCGTCCTAGCCAACCATCTTTAAGTTTGAGCTATATCGCTCTATATTCAGTAGTAAGCGAGCTTCAAAGCGTGTTTTTCCATAGTTAATTGCAAAATTTAGTGCAAAAAATAAGCAACTATTTCGCAGTGACTACGCTGCATATAATTTATGTACATCGGAATTTTATTGGATCAAGTTAAAATCCTCCCCCCTCCCAGATAGACCAAGTTAAGACCTGTCACCCCAGCGTTTACTTCGCATTAGCTTTGCTAAGCGCTGCATGTAAAATGCTCGACTGATTAGCTGAGACAATTTTTTTGAGGAAGGATGTTAACTTGGTCCATATTATTAAATTGCTCTTTCGCTACCTCATAAGAAAAATACCCAAAATCAGTTGAAAAGATTTATTCATGCAGCGCATCGTATGCAAGGAAGTCCAAGAAGATAATTATGAGTCTGCTCGGGCAACACAAGCAAGCAAGTCCGTTAAATTTAAATCTCGTAGTGAAAATTTCTCATTAAAATGATATTACTTTTGCGACTAATGATAAAACTCGTCTAAAATTGATATTACTTTTATTTACCTTTTAGGAGTCGATAAACGCAGTGAAAACTTTTTTTCAGATCTTGTTGATTTTTTTAAAGCCGTGTAATTAATTTGTTCACGCACAACCGATATCGCAAATATTACTACCGCCTTTTAGTGGCCTTTTATTGCATACTATAAATTAATTTTATATAATAGCATTTGCTTTGATCTTGATTTATTAAAAATTTAAAACCTTGAAGCTTTTTATGATTCATTAAATGAACCCAAGAAAAAAATTTTCGTTTATCATCAAAATCATACGCTCTTTTTTTGAAATTTTGATCTTTAAATTGCTCGCGAAACTTTTGAAATGCTCAATTTAAACGCAATCATGCTTTATACTTTCAAAGCTAGGTAATTGTGATTGATTTTCTTTAGTAATTGTGATTGCTTTTTTTATTAGTACTTTTGATTGCTTTTGGTTTTTTACATTCCAACTAATTCATGAAAATTGTGTTTTTTGGGCAATTTTAAGCTTTTTTGCCGCTTTCTTGCTTCTTTTTGACTTCTATCAGCGTAGGTACAAAACTTCAATGTCTGAGGGTTGATCTTGAAATCCAGTAGAGGGCGTTAGTTTTACAAAATTCATTAATTAAAATTAATTTTTTCTTTGCAACATCACTTCTAAGTAATAGTTTTTCACAAAATTGAAAATTTTGTCAGTCAGAGCTTTTTCTGTATTTTTATTTTAAAATTTTGTTCGACAATGAACCGAATTATCTACTAAAGATTATTCTGGTGAATCTGAAATATTAGCTGAGATTATTTTTTTGACTTGAAAGCTTGATTTTGCTTCGTTTGGTTGTACGTGTTTTGGACGGTCTGAGTACTCTGTTATGTTTAGCATTGATTGCTCATTGAAAAACGATTTTGCGTCCCCAGACAACGTCGCAGAGATCCCTTCGAGCAATCAATACTCGCATTGTTTTGAAAATACCAATAGCGGTAACTCTTTTTGTGATTCTACTTGGAAAAGCATTTCTTGTAAAATTGCACAAAGTTTGAAATACACTCATCGACAAGGCGCAACCAACGCCTATTAAGAGCGCTTTGAATATCTAGTTTTTTTCAAAAGGGGGCTTAGAAACTACCACTTGGATGGTCAAAAAGTTATGACTCCAAATAATACATTTTTGGTGAAGGAATGTTTTCTCTTCAAACGCTCTATCGATGAATTTTTTTTTGTTAGTTTTTTTCTGGAAAAACCCCAAAAATTGTTCACGCGCAACCGAAGTCGCAAATAGTACTGCTACATTTTAAACGCTTTTTATGGCATACTAAATTTTGGCTATATAATAGCATTTGCGATGATTTTAAATAATTCAGAATTACACATGTTAAAGTTTTTTAAATCATCAAACGAATCAAAGAAAACTATTTGTTTTGTACATCATTAAAATCACAAGGGCTCCTCTTTGAAGTTTTCTGTCTCAAAATTGTCAGCGAAAATTTTGAAATGCATAGTATATACATACGTATTTTTGCTTTGTACTTGTAATTTATCACCTACTTATTAATTGTGATTACCTTTGTGTATAGGGTTAGCCTAATTGTTGTGATAAACTTATTAAATAGTTTCAGAGAGGGCAGATGGATTCGATTAGTGATGCTACTGATGCAAATGATATTTCAATTGAGAAAAACACAGATGTGCCGGGACTGAGGTATCATGATCAGACTCCAGTATCAAAACCAACACCAAAACGGCCAAATATTGTACTGAGCCCATGTGACGAAGAAAATTCAGAGGACGATGTGACTGGGAAGCTAAAGCATACCATTGAAGAGTTAATGAAGTTGTTGATACCCAGCCTTGTAGAGCAAATCAAAGAGCAACTAATGACTGCAATCAACGTCGCTGTTGAGTCCGCAATAAACAACATGAAGAAGGAAATCATCTCATCCTCCAAAATGGAAAGGATCTCAGACGAATGTCAGCTATCTTAGGACTTTATCTGAAGCAGAAAAACTTGAATCATATAATCGACGAGATATCCTAAGAATTCTAGGAATCCCCGAGTGTTGGGAAGGGGAGAATAATCGTGAGAACTTTGATACAACAATAGCGAAGGTAGTGGAGATTTCTCATGATATTGGTGCAAATGTGCGAGCGTCAGATATCTCAATAGCTCATCGATTGCCATCTCGATCAAATAGAGACAAACCAATTATCATTCGTTTCGCCAGAAGAATCGCCAAAATCAACTTGCTGCGAAACAAAAAAAAGATGGCAGATAAAGAAGGTTTGAAAAATATAAGCGTCTTTGAAGACTTATCAAAGGCTCGTGTCAATTTCATAAAAATGATGAAGAGTGATTGCCGAATTAAATCTGCGTGGACCCGAGAAGGTGTAATCCATTATATATGGAAGGCAGACGAGCGACTATATCGTATCGATGGACTTTATGAATGCGGGAGTTATTTGAAATACAGATTTCAAGATGTAATGAATTGCTTCCAAAGTGTTTTCCACGAGGCAGGAGATAAAGGATGATCGTAAACAATCTAGTGATGTTTAAGTTGTTAATTCAAAACCAAATATTTCACAGAATAACAGTACTTTAATTAATAAAACTGAAAATTCCAAAGTTTCGGTGCTACATTTAAATATAAGATCTTTAAAACCGCACTTCGACAAATTGGAAGCACTTATTCTAAGCCTTGAGTCTCCACCTGATATAATTTGTATAACGGAAACTTGGTTAACAAAAAATGATCCAAGTGAAAGTTGGTTAATCAATGGTTATAATCAGTATTTTACAAAAAATCGCGAAACACCAGGTGGTGGTGTAATGATCCAAGCAAGAAACACATGCTGCTTGCTGAATCAACTTTATTCATTTTCAGAAGAAAGCTTAACGGTCGATATCCTAAAAAATGGCTATAAATTCTCATTATGTGTGATTTATAACCCACCAAAATCAAACAAAATGCAATTCATTGATAGGCTTGATGAGTTTTTGGAAAATTCAAAAAGTGCAAATCATCCGTTCATTCTTTGTGGTGATCTTAACATTGATATAATACCTGATAATTTACTGAGCCAAAATTATTTAAATTGTATTCATTCAAACGGTTTTTCGATAAACGGTCGTGAACCAACTCGCGTTACAGCCACCTATTCAACTTGTTTGGATCATTTCATTTTCGACAATTTAACTGAACCTCATTCAATGGTACTAAATAGTGAACATTTATCAGATCATTATCCAATACACTTGGAATGGGTCATAAAGTGTCAAATTGGTAATAGAGAAATTCCGTTTCGCGATACATCATTCCTAAAAAGTCGGAGCCAAGTTGAAGAATTTTTAAAAATTGCGGAAAGTAAATTGGCCTCACATAAATTAGTAGTTTGTGAAATGAATGATGCAGATGCAGCTTTCAATTTGTTCGCAAAATCTTTCGAAGAGGTGTTGAATATGTTTGCACCATTGAAAACCGAGAAAAATTTGGTCACAAAGCAACCCGCCTGGTACACAAATAAACCTAAAAACCTTAGAACAAAGCGAAATAATGCACACAAAAAATGGAAGTTGAATCAGAATAATTATCAACTGCTTCAAACGTTCAGAAGTTTAAGAGATCGTTTTGAGAAAGAAATAAAATTATCTAAAAAGATTTATTATTGGAATAAATTCAAAAACTGTATAGGAGACTCAAGGCAGATATATAAAATTTTAAACGATATCAGTGGTAAAGTAACAAAAACAGCAAGATTCCTCCATTACAATCATTTCATTGACGAAAACGAT